TTTAAAAATAAGTAATAAAGGGCATATTTGTCATTTCATGTGAGGTATAGACCAAAACCACACAAAATACAAAGTATAGTGACCAAAATCATACAAGGTATCAGAAATTGGAGCACCGATGCATCACCAAACTTTTTTGGACCAAAAACATATAATTTTAACAAACATAAAGACGATTATTGCAATTTTGTCTTTTATCTATCATTTAGTAATAAGGTATGAAGTAGTATGATTGAAGTAATTTCTCTATATTCATTCAGTGTGGTATACATGAGTTTATATACAAAAGTAGAGAGCCCTAACTCCACATAAACAGGAGATTCAAAATACGTGAGAATAATAGCCTAAAGAATAGGACTAAATGACTAAGTTACAAGACCAATTCAAAACTAATATAATTCTTTATGATGCTGAATATTTCTGTTATTACCCCCCCCCCCCGCAAGCTCAAGAGGAGGACGTACTTGAAGCTTGTGTCTGAGTTCAGTGACTCGATTCTTTCCCAGAGGCTTTGTAAAGATGTCAGCCCATTGATCAACAGAGGAAACTTGACAGATTTGAAGAGCACCTGCATCTACTTGTTCTCTTACAAAGTGGAAATCAAGAGCTATGTGTTTAGATCGTGTACTAATAACTGGATTTTTGCATAAAAAAGTTGCTCAAACATTGTCACAAAGAAGGATAGGCGGTTTGGGGAGTTCAACATGAAGATCACGAAGAAGTTGTTGAATCCATAATAACTCGGCTGTGGTGTAGGCTAGGGCCCGATATTCCACCTCGGTGCTGGACCGTGCCACCACTTTTTGTTTCCTAGATGCCCAACTGATCAAGTTTGGGCCATGAAAAATGGCAAAACCATATTGGGACCGACTATCATCGTTGTCGGACATCCAACCTGAGTCCGAGTATGCTAAAAGAGAAGTAGCAGCATGAGACCTGAAGTGAAGACAATGATGTAAGGTGCCATTAAGGTACCTTAAGATGCGTTTTACTGCTTGCCAGTGAAGGGTGGTGGGAGCATGCATGAATTGGCATACGCGGTTGACCGCATAAGCAATATCGGGTCGTGTAATTGTCACATATTGCAAAGACCCAACTGTTTGTCTATACAAGGTTGGATCAGTGAATGCGTCACCAGCTTTAACTAATGGAATTGACTGATCTGCTGGTGTGGACACGGGTTTGGAGTCAATCATTTTATTTCTTGTGAGGATGTCATGAATGTACTGGTGTTGTGATAATTGAAGACCCGTGGCTGTCTTGGAAATTTCAACACCTAGAAAGTAACTGATCGTCCCCAAGTCTTTAAGTGCAAAAGTGTTGTGCAGCTCATTGATGACATTTTGAACCAGCCTTGGATTAGTTCCTGTAATAAGTAAGTCATCAACATAGACTAAGATATAAATGGTGGCAGCAGGAGAGTAATAAACGAAGAGTGAAGTATCCGAGTGACACGCACGGAACCCATGAGTGACAAGATGTCATTTGAGCTGATTGGACCAGGCTCTTGGAGCCTGTTTCAACCCATAGAGTGCTTTGTTGAGTTTACAAACAGCAGTGGGACGAGCCGGATCCTCAAATCCTGTAGGTTGATCCATGTAGATTTCCTCCGATAGTATACCATTTAAAAATGCATTGTGGATATCGAGTTGTCGAATCGTCCACCCTTGGGAGAGAGCAATAGAGATGACCAGGCGGATAGTTGTCGGTTTAATGACGGGACTGAATGTTTCAAAGAAGTCAACTCCTTCTTCTTGAGTGGACCCTTTAGCAACGAGACGGGCTTTATACCGTTCAATTGAGCCATCCGAATGTCTTTTAATTCTGAAAATCCACTTGCAACCAACAATGTTAGCATTAGAGGGACGGGAGACAAGTGTCCATGTCTTATTTCTCATTAAAGCATCAAATTCATGTTTCATTGCATTGAAACCCATGGGGGTTCTTAAGGGCTTGAGGAACAGTATGTGGTTCTGAGGTGGGTGGAGATGTAGTGGTGAGTGAGAGGCTTTTTAGGACGTAGGGAGTTGGTTTGAGCCCTAGTAACCATTTTGTGTTGAGTATTTGGAGCGGGTCGGAGAAAACTGAGTGGGTTTTGTTTTGCCCGTGAGCTAATTGTTGGGCGTTGATGTGATGGACAGGAGGGCGGGGATGGAACTGTAGTAGTGTTGTTGGAGGAAGAAGTAGATGATGGTGAGTGGGCAACAGGTGAAGGTGTTGGTAGATCTGGAGTATTTAGGCAATTTGCATGATCAAGAATACCTGTTGAGATAGGCGTTTGAGGCATGTGGGGAAGAGATGTTGAGAGGTTGGGTTTAGGATTAGTGGAGAAAGGGAAAACATCCTCGTTGAAGAGCACATGACAAGAAATATATATACGTGAGGTGGGTCGATGAAGACAGAGATATCCCTTGTGAGAGGCACTGTAGCCTAAGAAGACACAGGGAAGAGATCTAAAATCCATCTTGTGGGAGCTATAAGGCGTAAGAAAGGTTAGCATAGGCAACCAAATGTTCGCATGAAAGCATAGTCTGGAGCTTTGTTGTTGTAAAGGGTAGAGTATGGGATTGATATCGTAGGGTAGGGGTGATGGTACGGTTGTGAATATATGTGGCTGTTTTGAAAGCGTTTTCCCAGTACTCATGAGGTAAAGACGAGTGTGCAAGGAGTGATAAACCTTTTCCAACAATAATACGATTCCGACGTTCTACCGCGCCGTTCTGTTCAGAAGTGTAAGGGCACGAGATGCGATGGTGAATGCCATTGTTTTTGAGGTAGGTGGAGAGGGTGCGATATTCTCCACCCCAATATGATTGAAAAGATTTTATGTCACAGTTTTAAACTGAGTTTTATCATGGTGCGAAAATTGATGAATGTGGGGAAGCACCTGAGATTTGTTAGATAGGAAGTAAATCCACACAAATTTGGAAAAATCATCAATGAATAATACGAAAAAATAACGACTTCCATTTATTGATAACATAGGGGATGGACCCCAAACATCCGAATACATAAGTTCAAAGGTTGAGTTGAGAGCATGAAATATGGACTAGAAGAAAGATTAAATCTGTGACTTTTACCTAATTGGCATGGTTCACAAACAGGTGAAAGTTTATTAGAAGAAACTGGAAGTTGAAAAGTGGAGATCAGGCGCCGAAGTATGGCTTCATGTGGGTGAGCAAGACGATTATGACAGCCTGATAAGGAGGTGCGAACAGTAGAGAGAGCCATAGTAGAGTTTGAGTATTGGATGGAAGGTCGAAGCGATAGAGGCCATGATCAACGTGACCTTGAAGAATTGGCTTGCCCTGCAATGTCTTGACAATGCAACGATTAGGCTAGAATTCCATAAACACATTGTTGTCTTTTGTAAGCTGTGAAACACTTAATAGATTTTTAGTAAGACGTGGGACAACAAGACTGTAGGTAAATGCAATGAAGACAAGAAGAGGAGCCAAAATGAGTAATAAGTTAAATTTGTACCATTGCCAACTTGTAGCTTATCCTCTCCAGTGTAGGGTTCATTGATGTGGAGTTTATTCAAATCGGGGTGACATGATCTGTTCCCCCGTATCAAAGTACCATGAAGGGTCCATAATAGTGGAGGGACTGTGTAAATTGGCAACATTAGCCTGACGAGGCTGGGCACGGGGAGGAGGCCGGCGAGAAGGGTAGTCAATTTGGTTTCCCCGTTGCCAACAGTTGATGGCCTCATGGCCTGTTGTTTATTGCCAGAGTTGACAGTGGAGACGACTGCGTCGGTTATTTGGACCACCCCCCACGAGAATCGAGTGGCTTCCCTGAGAAGGCTGAGAGTAGCGGTTGGTGGAGGGAGGAGTAGTGAAGCTTGATTTGCTACAGGGAAGGGAGAGAGCTGTTGAGAGGTGATGGATGTAGGTACTTGAGTGAGAGCCTGGAGAGTGAGTTCTTACTCAAGTCTTGCCTCTTCTTGAAGAAGAAGACTAACGAGGTCATCAACAGTGGTGAAGTCAGCTTGCATAAGGAAAGCAGAGGTGAAGGAGCTGTACGAAGAATCCAATCCGTTGAGAATACAACCCATTAATTTTTCGTCAGTCACTGGTGGGGTGAGATTTTCAGCCAAACAATCGGCAATTCGGCGCTTCTTTTCTAAATAGTCGATCATAGAGAGTGAGCCTTGGGCATAGTTTGGAGTTGGGTATTTAGGGCCATGCGCTGAGCACGTGTTTGGGCCTGAAAGTTGCGCTCAAGTGTTTGCCAGGCCTGGTGAGAAGTAGTAGCCCTAGCGACGGTAGCAAGGGATTTATCAGTGAGGGTGGACTTCATCCACAGAAGGACGAACCGATCTTTTTTCTTCCAAGTGGTGAATTCTGGATTGATAACAGGGGCAGCGTTGGAGGGTCGATCTTCTTCGGTATCAGCAGTGGGTGCGATTGTTGCAGGTGGTGGGGAAGGGTTGAGAATGAACGAGTCCAATTCAAAGCATTCAAGAGTGGAGATGATGTTTGTACGCCAGAGAGAATAATTGTCACGATCAAGCTTGACGCTAACAGGGGGAATTTGAAAATTAAGGGTTGTAGAGGCAAGTTGGGCGGCAGCAAGAAGTTGTGCAGGAGTGGCCAGGGTGGAATTGCTCACGTAAAGAAAGGGAAAAAAAATGATATGTGACCTTAAAGCTCTGATACCATAATAAGGTATGAAGTAGTATGATTGAAGTAATTTCTCTATATTCATTCAGTGTGGTATACGTGAGTTTATATACAGAAGTAGAGAGCCCTAACTCCACATAAACAGGAGATTCAAAATACGTGAGAATAATAGCCTAAAGAATAGGACTAAATGACTAGGTTACAAGACCAATTCAAAACTAATATAATTCTTTATGATGCTGAATATTTCTGTTATTATATTTAGTATTAGTCTAAGGATGGGATGTGTAATTTGCGCAAACTGATAATAACATGACAAAAATATATCATACATTATAGAATATTCAACAAAATTAAAATGGAAACGAGATTTGGATTCTATTTTTATAAGATATCTTCGAAAAATCTCAATTTTTCGCACTTTATAACTATTTTTAAAAGAAATAAAATGTTTTGCTAATTTGAAATCCAACATCAAATTCAATTTAAAGATTATACTGAAGAGTAATTAGCTTGTGCCAACTCCATTGATTGTTGAGTAGATTGTGTGTTATCTTTGGATTTTTTCATAAACTTATACTCTCCATAGAAGTAAGAAGCAAATCCCCATAAAGACAAAACGAGTGCAACGCCTTTTTCGGCTTGAAACTTCTCTTTGTAAAAGACAACAGCTAATACCTCTGTCACTGGAAGAAGAACAGCAATTATGATCCCTGATAATAACGATGATGCACAAAAGATCACTCCTATGGCCCCCAAGAAGAAACATTGCCAGATTAATGCACTAAAACACATTATTATGTAATACTTGGTTTCCCCCAAATCAAAATCTCTTGCCTCCCTCGGAATCACCTACAAAGAACATGATTAAAGTTAAACAAATCCTTAATTTCTATATAAAAGCAATATTTTCGTCATATCAAATAGTACAAAAGAAAATGGCCAAATGATGAAATGTTACATCCGATGCATTATAACCTTAGGATGAAATCATCATTATGATTTCTTAGAAATAGTTAGAGCAATAACTTTCACTATTTTCAATAAATCGTCTATTTTCGTTCAAAAAAAACTTATCACTTTCACTGTTATGCATTTATTACCATACACAATCTATATTGTTGTACGTATTTATATAAATAGAAAATATGTAACAAAATAAAATGTAAAATATCAATATAAAAATGATACACGCACGATCGATGTGGATGATGTATTCTACTTTTTTATTTATAATAACGACATACTAATAATTTTTTCTCGTAATGAAAACGTACTTAGAATGTTTACCAATATAATAATAACCAAGTATTGGGCTATAATGGTTATCAAATTCTAAATACGTAGTATCATGCATGTATAAAAAAAACATAACGGTGTCACCAAGAAAAAGTAACTTTTTCTTAAAAATTTATTACTCTTTTTCTTTTAGTTTCTTCTTTTTTATAATAATATCGGTAAATGTTTTATATCAGAGTGATTAGCTAATTTTTCTTTGAATGACGAGTGTCATAACATTACTATGCATAACCATTAACATTACTATGCATGAATAATTGGATTCGATTAAGGAGTTTCATAACATCGGATGCAAGAAAACCAAAAATATCAAACACGAAATCTATATACATTTGTTGGTTTTTCATGCATGTTTTCTAATGTGTGTCACTTTGTACGAAACATCTTTTAAAACAACTTAGTTCCACAATAAAAACCTCATTTCTCAAGACCACAGTGAAAACCACTCTACAAGACCACGAAAAGGAAAACCCATTTTAGTAACTTTTACAAGTTTTAGATTAATATATATATATAGATATATCTATATATATATAGATATTATAATCATATATATATATAATATATAATCTAACCATTATAATGAACCTTTAAAAAAGAAACCATTTTATTTTCGTTTTTTGGAAAATAAACACTTTCTCGTTTTCAATTTTTTTTTTCAAAAAATCTCTCTAATTATATCTGAAATGTCTATTTCAAGGTGTGAAAATGAGGACTTTCTCCTAAATGCTCCATTCCGGATTTGATCTTCAAAATGAGCACTTACTCCTTAAATAAATACCCCTACTTATGTCCGAAATGTTTATTTCGAAGTGTTTAATGTTACTGTTTTTACAATAAAATGTTTGATTGTATGCAATAATATCGCATATAATTAAAATTTACTATATTTCTTTATCTTTTTGTTAGATTTAAGTAAAAAAAAATTCTCGAAAGTCCAGAATTGTCATTTGATTTCAGACTTGTTCTTGAAATTCCAAAGTGTTTTTTTTTGTCGAAATCCAAATTTTCAGTCCGAAATATGGGTCCGGAATTCCGAAATATCAATCCGGAACGTATTTTTTTGTCATAAAAATTATTTTTTCTAGGTACGTAATGCCCATTTCGAACCAAATGGTTATTATATATATTATATATAATATATATAGATTATATATTATATTTAATATAGTATATATATATATATATATAATATATATATTATATTTTCTTCAATTACACATTAAATTATGATTAGATTACTTAATTTCCCATGTATTATATATGAAAACATATCTTAATTTTATTTATAAACAAATGTTAGAATATTGTTATTATAGATAAAAATAAAAAGTACTAGTTATGTAGAAGGACAAAGAAAAAAAATACTTTCCGTAATTATGATATATTAAATATTCAAATTAATTTAAAAGGATATTCTAACAACCCAATAAAACCTTTTTGACATAAAGAGAAATTCAATGTTAATCATCCAAGAAACTTTTGCTAACTTTTTGATATAAAGAGAATTTCAATGTTAATCATCAAAGAAACTTTTGCAACTTTTTGATACATAGAGAATTTCAATACTAAGAAACTTTAGCATCGACTTTAGAAAGGTGGGGTACATCAAGGCCAGTACTTGTAAGAGGGATTTGTTTGGAATCAAAGAAAAGATGTGGGGTCAAACGTTGAGAATGAGAACCATGAGGATGAATTTGGTCCAACCAATATTGGAAATGAATACCTATTTCCTATTAGCTGGTGTATGAATCTGATGGCAATGTGACCGGTACAGCGAGTGTACTATTGGGTTTTTGGGTATCCTTATCATAATACAGTATCTGTCTATAATCGTATATATTATGTATTTTAGGTTAATATTATAGAGTTATGAAATAAGGAGTAATTACAATTAAAAAATATCATATTTCATACACATACTATTAATATATAATTAAGAAACCAAATATATTTTGATAATAAAATTATAGCTCTTCTAAAACTATAAAGCGGTTTGGGGTTAGGTACATGAGATCATATCGAGCACGTAATAATATAGAGAAATTAAATATCCTTCTATTTTTGTTCGTATAAATCTTCATAACTTATTAAATGATTAAATGTGTCATATTAGTATATTAAAATATCATTAAATGAACATTAAATGTTATAGATGTCACTATTTAATTGGGTAGGAGGATTTATAAAAACAAAAAGTAGAAGGATATTTAATTTCTTAATAATGTATAAACTTAATTAATACTATAATAATCTCATATCTAAGACATTTAAGAAAAAATCACATACCTGATAACCATTTACTTTGTAAAAAAGTTTCAAGTTCGATATTTTAATCACGATCGAGTATTTTTGTCATCTTATGTATAAAGTTCTGTTAAAAAAAACATGGATTTTCAACTTAAATATGTTAATTGATTTCTAGTATTTTAATGCAACAGGAACGTACAACTTTTGTTACATATACCATTTGTAAGTCGAGCAAATCCAACCTACAATAAAAGAAATAATATACTTTATTTGACCAATGTCTAAAAAGTTAGAGAGCATCAACCGCATTTGGTGCTTGGTGTATGATCAGGTCATGTGCCTACCTTATATAGGTATCGTTCAAAATTTGTGCGATTGATAATTGCTGATGCTTTATATAAAGTTTTGTTTCAAACTAGTTAGGTTTCTTTATAAGGTTCATCTTTAAAATATCTTAAATGGCAACTTTTGTTGTTAATGTGTGGAATTTTATACTTTATGTATAATAAAACCGACACCATTTCGAAACTAAATATGCCTACTCTATATTTGTTTGTTTTCCAAAAATCATTTTTTTGGTAATAAATATCGTAATCGATATATAATTTTCTGATTCATAAAAAAACTTATTTTAGTTTTAGAAACTATTTTTTAATTACTTAATATAAGGCTGGTTTATTGCCCCCGTTAGCGGAGGGTAAAAAGAAAATCATTCAAAAACCAGGTTAGAATTACTATAATTATTAACGTTTAATTAACAAAGTAATTTCCATATATAACTTAGTGTAAATATTGTTTTAACCCTAGAAACATAAATTAATCTTTAAATCAATGAAAATATTATGTACACTTTGACAAATTCTGTAGACCAACATTTTTTTAGTTTTATCTTAAACCATGTCGAGAGATTAGATGCATAAACCATCATATAATATGAAATAAAAAAAAATCTATTTGTTATTTGAGTTAAACGGTGCTCAAAATAATCTACCAATAACTCCAATTTCATTTAAATTTTCTATTTGTTTTATCGTTTGAAAACCTCATTATTTTGAGGTACTATAAAGATAATTCTCAATTTTGTCCGATCAAACCTTCCTCAAAGCAGGTAGGTGAGAAGGGCTAGGCTTCATGCATGTTTTTCATAACTGGCACTAAATTAGCGAAATGTGAAAGAGTATGGGCTTAGTCGGCAAAGATTTTAAATAAAAAAAATCTGGATTATATAATATTTTATCCCAATTAATAGAAAAGTTATTTATGTTTTTGTATAGAATCTGATAGACTATTGTATAATATGATAATTGACTTTTAACAAAAACAAGAGAGCTAAACTTTCACATAAACTAGAACAAAGTAATAAGACTCTAAAGATAACATTTTTCTTACAGAGATTTGTTGAATGTAAAACGGTTTGTTGGATTAGATAAAGGAAATGTTTGGTGAGTTGAAAAAGTTAGTTGTTAGCTTATAATTTAATTGATAAAAAAATATGTTCGCTAAAAATTAGTTGATAACTAGCTGAAAATATAAAAATGACATAAAAAATAACTAAGAATAAATATGTTTTTTATGCTTAATTAAAAATATATTTAAGAAATATTAAAAAAAACCTCTTAAAAATAGCTTTATAAGCTAATTAAAAACACTTTCTGGTTTTAAATATTTTTTAAAAAGCACTTGAAAAATAAAAAAAAGTTTATAGAATAAGTTATTTATTCTAATACAAGATTCTTTTAAAGGAATCTTCGATAAAATCTCAATATTTTGGTACAGTTTACGATTTAATCATAAATTATATTTTTTGAACTGAAAAATCATAATTATTTTATATTTTGCCCAATTAACGAAACAACTCTTAATTTTTTTTTTAAAAAAAAGAAAGTGTCAGATTATCGTATAAAATTAAATAATCGAGACTTTTGTATTAAAAAATAAATGTTAGAATTAAACATTAAACTGACAAAAAATATTGAGATTTTATTGGAGATTTCTTTTATTTTAATTATAAAAAATTACCTTGTAAATAGTTAAACAATAAAACAAGATAAAGTACAAGAGCATCTTCAATGTTAAACCAATATCATGGGTCAAAAATATTGTTACCTCATTATTTTATTTTTACTAGCCTCTACTTAAATTGTTTCACCAATGGTTAATGGTGTAATACACACAAAAAATACGTTAGGGACCTAATATGGAGAAACGGGAAACGTTATTACCGTCCTAAGTCATTCTCCCTATTTATATATTATATATATTTATTTATCCATAAAATTTAGATAAATAATAAATAAATCAAAGTAAATCAAATGGATAAAATGAAATATTATTAAAGAAAAAATGGTTGATTGTTCATTAAACTATATTGACCACTCAATATATATTGAATAGTCAATAAAAATGAACAAAAAAGTCATGCAATCCAATGGTGTTTATTTATTTTGTCCACTCAACCAAATAGTAATAAGTTATAAAAAGAACCTCTCGTCAAAGATGCTATAAAAAAGATGTTCTAAGTAAATATAAAACTTTATCATAAAATTATTCAACTTACCAAAATTTCTTTCATATTTCTTAAAATATGAAGGAATTTCCAAATTCATTTTTGAAAAAAAAAATAATAATAAAGCAACTTCACAAAATATGAAAATATGGATATAAAGAAATTTTCAGTCGAATGAATAGAAAACTAATTTACAATATTAAAAGATTCAGAAAGATAATCCTATAAAATATTATTTTTTTCATATCTTTGAAAAGATGATCATTCATGATCCTCTCATTTACGTTATTTCAATTATTAACTGAAAATCAAAGGAAATCAAATCAAATAATTGACTATATGGAGTCAGCCGGCAGTGCGTGTTTTGTGTGAGAGAGAAAAAAACAAGCTGTAATGAGTTGTACCTTGAAGTCATTGTTGATGATCATTCCAACCATACAAAAGATAGTAGCAAACAAACACATAACCATCTGAATCTCCAACACCAGTGTATATGTAATGGCCTGTTTTGCCTTGTTGTACGTTAGTTCGATCAACGGCAGAATAAACCCATACAGCACCGCCGCCGCCACCGTCAGCACAAACCCCATCACATACTGCTTCTTAGTCTCCCCCTCCGGCCGGTCACTGTTCGTATGCAACGCCAGCACACCCGCACCAACGGTCAAAAGCACCACCGCGTTTACTGAATACGCTGTGAATTTTTGTTTCACGAGAAGGTAAGCAAAGAACGCCGTGAAAGCTAGCTGAGAAGCAATGATGAGGGCGGAGGTGGAGACGGGGAGGCGGGCGACGCCGTAAGCGTAGAGATAGTCGTCGAAACCGGTGATCACACCGACGAAGGCTACCGCGAAGAACAATCTTGGACGCATGTAGATGAACGTTGTTCTTTTATTGTTTCCGTTTTTTCCGGCGGCACGGCGGTGGAAGTAGAGGATTATGAGGACAATAACGATGAACGGCCACCCGGCGGTTTCCAGGAACGAGGATAACCAGACGCGGTTGCCGCCATGGATGAAGTAGAGCCGCATAATCAATGGGCCACCACAGTTTCCGATGGATAACAAGATGCAATTCAAGATTAAAAGCGTCTTCTTTGCCGCAGGGCTAACTTTAGCCGCCATGGGTGCGGTTGTGCCCGTGGTGGTGGTGGTGGTGGTTACCTTCTCCATCATATGTAATGATTGAAATTAGTTTCGGGCAATGGAGTATATATATAATTATAGATATTATATATATATATATATATATATATATATATATATATATATATATATATATATATATATATATATATATACTATCCGAGGATAAAATTTGACTAAGATTATTGGGCTAAAATGGCGTTGGGTAAAATTTTAAATATTTTAAAGACAGACAATATGAAATGCTGTGAAATAACAACATTGAGTTATTCATACAAACATGAAGGGCTTTTTGAAAGATTAGTTCGTGTAGAACGCCTAAATATTTTTTAAGATATTCCAATAATCCTTCAAAATACTTGAAAAGAATTCGAGTAGTAGCGTATCTCCTCGAACAACTCCCGATCAAATAAAAAATTCATCCGGTTTTTTCATGTTTTGTTGCTCCAGACTGCTTTTGGTGGTCACCTTAATCTTCCACGACACCGAAATCACATTGCTACTACCGGAGACCATTCTAAACCTGACGTTCCACCATCAGTAGGGGTGTAAATGAGTCGAGCCGAGCCCGAGCCTGACCAAGCTCAAGCTCGGCTCGTTTAATTTTGAGGAAGCTCGAGCTTGATTCGAGCCTTAAAATGAAGCTCGAGCTCGGCTCGTGAACAATTTAGTGGGCTCGCGAGCCTAATCGAGCCTAAATGAGCCTCTCTCTCTCTCTCTCTCTCTCTCTCTCTCTCTCTATATATATATATATATAATATATATATATATAATATATATATATAGGCTCGTTTAAGCTCGTTTAGGCTCGCGAGCCCATGAATTGAAGCTCGGCTCGAGCTCGTTTAATAAACGAGCCTCGTATTTAGGCTCGAGCTCGGCTCAGACTCGTTTAATTCGATCTCGAGTCGAGCTTTTAACGAGTCGATCTCGAGTAGCTCACGAGTAGCTCGGCTCACTTACACCCCTAACCATCAGCCTTCTACGTCTCTTGGTTGATTTTTGTTTTATTTTTTTAAAACTCTTTCTGGCATCTTTTGTCTAAACGGCAAACAGATATTTTTTCCGCTGTTTATTTTTAAGAATATTGTAGACTTAAAAAGGTTCCCATCAGACATGTTGCAAAACTCATGGACGTAATTAGAATTTGATATATTGAATAATATTATATGATTTGACGTTTCATTTAGATACAACAATACAATCTTTCCAAAAATAAAAGGTATAATGACTTGAGAGGGTAACGTACTTTACCTTTTGATCACATTTGGTCACTAAACTTTTTTTCGTGATGTATTAACCCTTGAACTTATTGAAACATGTAAATGTTACCCTTATGACCGTTTTTAGCCGGTTACAACGGGTTATAAGAGTAAATGTGAACAATTTCAAATAATTCAGGGGTAAATCAGGCACGAAAAAAAGTTCAGTGACTAAATATGAACAAAGTTGAAAGTTCGTTACCCTATCAAGTCATTATCGCTTTTTTCAATCATCCCCTAGTTTATTTTTCCTATTGATAGCAACTACGATTAATAATTTTGATTTCAGTCACTACGAATTGTTTTATGTTGTGTTTATACGCAGTATTACAAAATAGAATATGTACCACATAACCATGTTGTACTTCATGCTTTAATCCTAGTGATGTGTGTAAAATGCACTAATTTTTAATCCTACTACTTCAAACACAAATAACCACACGAAAGACAATGTGCCTATCGTTTAACAATATAGTTCAAGCAAACAGAGTATAGAACACAGAAAACGGTAACAATTAAACTAATTACTAGAATTATCTAATTAAAAACAAATAATAAAAAGAAGGGTTTTCTCTAGTTTTGCAAGACTAGAAACATAAACAATTGAATAATACTCAACCTAAGATAACTAACAACTAAAGCAATTAAGAAGTAATTAAATTCAATAATAAAAGAGACTTCTGTTCAGGTTCGACTCACTCAACCTAAGATAACTAACAACTAAAGCAATTAAGAAGTAATTAAATTCAATAATAAAAGAGACTTCTGTTCAGGTTCGACTCACTTGTTTCTATGGTTGATTTTATGGCAAGTGCAATGGATTATTTTGTCATTGGCTACCGATTAATGTGATTAGATTCATGTTCACTATTACTAATCCTTAGAAAACAAAATTAATTTAAACAATGGCCAATTTGTTAAACTAATGAACTTCCTAGTATTTTGATTCGGGTTAAGTAAGACTTGTAGTTGTAGCTAATTAAATTACTAATTCAATCAACATCTTGTATGGTTGTTCATCACACAAGCTCACGCATTAACTTGCCTATTTTCTAATTAATCCTAGATTCATATTCACTTATACTAGGCATATAATATTGTTTTCACATAAATCATATGAAGCAAGCAATTAAGAGGATGTTCATACAACTTAATAGACTTGATAATTAACAGAAAATAGTTATTGTCAACACATAAAGATCATTCACAAGCTTAACAAAACAATTTCACCAAATCAAATAATCCATACCATAAAATCAATCCATATTAACAAGCTAGTCTACCCTAAACAGAAGTAATGAGTTTTTAGCTCATATCTACAGCAAGTAATATCTCAAAAACGAAATCCATAAGTAAAAACATAATTTTGTGCAATAGATTAAGAAAAAGAGAATATATATGTTGACTTTGATCTCTTCCAAATCGATCTCTAGGTTTGATCTTTGAATTCTAGAGCTTTAATAACCTTCTAATCGCAGATAAGTCGCCAAAAGATCCAGAGAAAAGTCCTTGTTTCGGGAATTAGTTCCCTTTATATAGCTTTCTGAAAACAGGGGCGACTCGTCGAGTCCATAGACTGACTCGACGAGTCTGTAACTTAAATCCCGTGCACGGTAAGGCACCTGATGGTTCGCGAATATTCCTATCAACTCGACGAGTTGAGGACCAACTCGCTGAGTCCTTCACCTTTTTGGCTTAATTTCTTCTTTCTTTGATTCCCGAGTTTTCCGATTGCTAATCTCGCTTCCTTTTTAACTAGAGCATGTCTTTTAGGCTGAAAATACAATTTAAACATAATTAAGTACCTTTTGTTCAATAATTGAGACAAAATAGTCAAATAATATTAAGATATTAGATAAAATATATAACTAAATATGCACATATCACCTAGTCCATGATATAAGCTTTTAACTAGCGTTTCTTTATTCACCTATAAGTGAAACATCAACCCACAAAGAAGAAATTATCAAAAGAGTTTCAAAAAGGGCAAAAGAGACATATACGAGCAATTAAACAAAAAATGAGATCAAAAATCAAAAGGAGCACGGTGAGAAGGAACATATAGAACTAACAAACAAATAGAAAAGTTAGATGCAAGTAATAACTGGCAAGGAAAGTATCGACAAAACAAGTTAAAAGTAAAAACAATCAAAATTAGGCAAATGCACAAACAGTGTAAAGGAAGCTAGTACCTACACTACTCATATACTGCTCCACAACCCTGAGCTTATTCATCCACACTCTATAATTAAAGCTCATATCCTTGTAAAGAGAAAAATCGCATTCAAATCTAACATCGTATTATCTTCACAACGATCGACTCAATCTTCTGGAGTGAAAACTATCGCCTATGACCAAAGTATATGTTCTTTCTTCCTCACACGATCTGCAATGACCGTCTCCACCTTCTGGAGTGAAAATCGTCGCCTATGTCCTAAGTATATGTCTGAAACCACCATATTTTTTTCCCTTCAGTTTTTGTGATTGAAACCTCTCCTAGTGCATTTATAAGTATTGTTTCTAATACCTTATACTATAAAGGTATATCACACGATTACAACAACATCTTCACTTTTGTGACCTCAATATGTTGCTTGTGATCATCCTTAATAACATTTACTAACCATTTATGGGATAATGACTTGAAAGGGTAACAAACTTTCAATTTTGTTCACATTTAATCATTGAATTTTTTTCGTGCTTAATTTACCCTTGAATTATTTAAATTTGTTCACATTTTACCCTTATAAGTGGTTATAACCGGCTAAAAGCGGTCATAAGAGCAACATTTACACGTTTTAACAACTTCAAAGGTTAATACATCACGAAAAAAAAGTTTAATGACCAAATGTGAGCAAAAAAATAATATAGTATTTTATTGTTACTAAAAGTACTAACATAAATACATTAGCGTTTTATGTTTATATTTTTTGAAACTTTCTGGACATGTATCTTCAGGTGTCAACAACTTTTAGATAGATATATTTATATTATTATATATATATATATATATATATATATTATCTATCTATATATTATAGATATATATATATATGGTTACGTTCATGTCAGACGACCTAATTTTGTGAGACCGTGAGACGCAATCCTAGTCATTCATTTTGTAGATAAAAAAAATATTTTAAAATGCAAAATAATTGAAAATTTTCGAAATTTTTTTTTTCAAATATTATTTTCTTCATTTATATTTTCCAAAAAAAATAAAAAAAATACCAAATAAATAAATAAAATACCTTTTTTTACATATTCTAGTAGAATATTAGAATATACTACATATCTGACAAATCTAGAATAATATTCTAACAATCTAAAAATCACATTAGAAGATTTATAGTGTAATATTCTATTAGAATAATTCACGTATTATACAAAAAAAAACCGTAATTTTTTTTATTATTTTTTTAATTTTTTATGTAAAAAAGTGACTAAAATAATAATTAATTTTTTTTTTCGGATTTTTCCTTTTATTTTGCATTTTAAAATTATTTTTAAATTGCGTCTTACGATCTCAAAAAATTAGTATAGCCTCAAATGAACCTGAATTTATATATATATATATATATATATATATATATATATATATATATTATTATTCAAAACCTTTTTTTTTCAACTTTGTTTTAAAATAAACAAAACCTTTTTTTTCAACTTTGTTTTAAAATAAACAACAAATAAAAAAATCACGGTCGAAAATTTAAAATATGTGTAACTATTTTTGAATGTATGCAAATATTCTACGATATTTACACATATTATATATTTTAATATCATGGATAATAATT